AATTAGTTATTATTATTCCGTTATATACGACATATACATATTTTTTGCAAGTCACATGTCCCTGAACTGTATTTATAAATGCGCCTTTCTACAACGCGAGGTTCGACGAATAATTAGCCCACAATCAGTTTTCTAGATTTCACGGCATTTCCTGTCGAATCGAAGCAGATACATGAGCGAGTATACTCGCCGAACCTCGCGCCGTTTAAACACGCCTTAAGAATTCCAAAACATTTTATCTTTTCCGTCGCGCAGGTGCAACCCATTTTACAATTTCGCGATAAAATTCCCCGGCTACGCCACTGCCATCACATAAATTTTAACAACACAACAAATTTTCAGTACGAACTAAAGCAAGTTGTTTATCTCGGTGAAATTTCAGCGAGCGCAGTGCAAACGTTTAACTTCACATGTCACACACACCCATCCGCTCGTATTCGTTGCTTTATTTATACAATTAAATACAAAATTCATTAAGCCACGCCGCCGCTATCTCTCGAAAACTCGCACAAAGCGTTCGCCGCTTATCGTATCACTCCCGTGTGCCCGCTCCAGCGATCGGTCTAGTTTTTATCTCGGTGTCCATACAGTGCGACGTTTGTTGGGACGTGCGCGCTTATTTGACGTCGCTTTGAGATAAAAAAAATGTAGGTTGTCGGTCGGTTCACTTTTGGATGTCCCGCGTGACGGACAGTTACAGAAACAGTACATACGTATACTTGATGTGGTGGATGTAGAGAACAGAATCGTTTAAAATCTTGATCGAAAAAGGGAGCGTTATACGGGGTGTTTCAGAATAACGTACCACAAATATTAGGGGTAATAGAACACAATCTACCGACTGTTCTTTTTAAGATACCAGACATTTATAGTTGTTTAAGATACACTCAACAAAAAAATTAAGGGAGCAATTTTTTTGCGTTATTTTTTCACAATTTCACATTGTCGAAAAAAAATGTGTTAATAAATTTTGGGATTATTTTTTATTGAAAAAATTGGTAGTTTTGAAAAAAACTGTTTTTTAAGGCTTCAGAACTTTCAAAATAAGCGTCAATAAATATTTTGAATTTACATTTTTTTTAATTTCAACATTTGTACATTTGAAATATTCAATGTGAAATTGTAAAAAAATAACGCACCAAAATTTAGAAAAATTTGATCTTTTTTTCAAAATTGAATTTTTTTTTTCGAAATTTTGATATTTTTCGATATTTGATGAGTATTTAACGCGGAATTGTGAGAAAAATAACGCAAACATTTTTTTTTTTCATCTTAATCATGATTATTAATTGAAGTTTAAGGAGCAATAAACCTACTCCTTTAATTTTTCATAAAATTTTGACGATTCAGAATAGGAAAACGGTTCTACCAGTCGATTTCAAAATTTACAGGCCTCATAGGCATGTACTGAGCTAAAAAAAAACCTGGAAACCTTGGTACTTTCCGCAATATTCGCAAAGTAATCGTTGATTTTCCAAAACAGCAGAAAATTTGCACTTTTTCAAATTAATACTGAGTATAATTTTCTTTTTCTCAAACAAAGCTTTTAAGCTTTCAAAACAAACCCACCTTCCGGTCGCTCTACGATCATTAGTTCATGAAATATCGATGATAAAAAATGTGACTTTTTCAATAGCCGATATCTCAGTGAGAAATAATTGTACAGAAAATAAAATGAAAAACAAATTGAAGCTGAGGAATCAGACTAAATGACGCTGGTATTGATTAAGCCAGAAAATTTTTTTCTGGATCCATGGGCAGTTTTGAAAAAAAAATTCTAAAATTTTCGCCTTGCATTATTTCTTTTGATTGTGCAGAGCGATGCTTAAAAAATTTTCTCAAAATTTCAAAACTAGAATTTTCAAGCTTCCAGATGCTTTTTTTCTCGATACGGCCTTTCAAAAATCACTAAACAAAATTTGGAAATTTTTCTGTTCCCTTATTTTTTTTGCTGACTTTATAAATGTAAAATGTCGTTTCGCAATTGTTTTCAACAAATAAAAGAACTTTTTGGACATTGTGGGCATTCGATTTTTTGTAAAGGTATTATTTTAGTGGCATGACAACCAATAAATTATTAAAAAAATTAGTGATGTTGAGTTTCAAGGAAGCTATCGACAGTGACAGAATTCTTGAATATTTCAAAAAAGAATCAGTCAAAACAAAATTGCGATATGATATCAAATTTTGAGCAAAAAAAAACATCTAAAGAAACGGTGCCATTAGTCGTGTCATTTTTTTAATGTATTTTGCCAATATCTCGCAAAGTTATCGACATATTGTATTAAAATTTGGTGGTAATTTATTTTGAAGAGTTCTAAAAGTCTGGTCTGATTTTTTTGTAAATAAGTTAAACAGGCAGTGTTAAAGACACACTGAAATAAAATAAAATCGTTTCGTATTTTTTTCAAATTTGCGGAAAATATTTAGGTAACTATATTTAATGTTTTGATTTTCGGTCATTAAAAAAATAAACACTTTAATATTGTTTTGAGGAATTCTAATGAACTGTAGTTGACCAATTTCTTTTGTATATAGAGGGTGTTTCAGGGTTAATTGGTCCAAAACTGGAAAAAAGTCAAAGAAATAAATATCCAGAAATAAACTTTTTTGCGGAACGAGTAATTCTACAATTATTTAGTTGTAATGAAGTCCTTGGTAATGCTAATGTAATGTAAAAAAATAATGACCCCAATATAGTCGATTTTTCAAATAAAACAGATTAGATATTTTGCTAGAAATGCCACTAACAATAAGAGTTACAAAGCGGCGATCGAATTTTCAAAATGCCCTGTGTCGTTGAATTTCTAAAGGTTCTTAATGATACAGATTCTTGGTATAGTTGTTACGATGTCAAATGGAACCTGTAAATCTTAAAGCACAGGACCGTATGCAATTCTGAAATTTCTTCTTATGCTTTGACCATGCTGTGTCTCGTAATTTATACTCGCATAGCAATTCGGCGAGTCCGGTATTGGTAAACTAGTCCGCCTGATGTAGAATTGACGGCGGCGCGCTGGTCATCAAAGCAAACCTGTATTGGTCCACTAGGTCGTAAATAATTTTTTTGTATGGTACACAGGTTCACTTAGCGTTGCCGCTTTGCCAGTGCCGTGCAAAGCATTGCTTGGCGGAGTATGTTGGTATAATACGTATTATTATTTATTAGTTGATATTATTATTATTTGTTTATATCGTAACCAGTAAAGGGTAAGTTATTAAAATAAATGTTATGTGTAACTATCTAGTAATTTAGCGTGTCTCTCTAGAGACTGTTTGAAGCGGAGAATAACGAAATAACTCGGGAAAATCCCCAAATAGTGGAACCGGTTTTTGTCGAAAGTATCGAAACAAACTCAGTTTAAAAACAAAGATTTACACATAAAAAGTCAACGTATTATATTAAATATATATGAATGTTTGAAAATTGAAAATAGTGAACAATATGATAAAAAGGTTAGGAAACGGATTAACGAATTAACTAAGATATCCAAAAAAAGCCAATTTAATTAAAGAAGGATTGATCACGGTACAACAAGGAAACGGAAAAATACAAAATTAAAGAAAATTGACTATTTTACCAGATGTAATGCTGCGCACTATTTACAATATGTATAAAGAAAATAAAGTTCCTACTTTAAACATGATTCGAGATAAATTAAGCGATTATCCTGATTACAATTATAAATCTTTAGATATTTTACGATGTGCTTTATTAAAATGCGATTTTAAACATAAAAAACTTGACAATCTTATGGTAATTATATGGTAATATAGCTCGAAATATAGTATATCTAGACGAGACAGGGCTAAATTTTTCTGAACGTCTACGGATTCCGTAGAATTTATGAGTTAAATGTTTTATGCGGTTCCAATTGAGATCGTAACGACTATACCTCTGCTACTGGTAGACGTATTCATATGCAAATTTAGCAGATCTTTATCTTTAATTAGATAAATCATTCACCAAAGTTTCATTACTCTTCGTCAAATGTCTTTTATATAAGGTCTGTTCAAACAGGACTCAGGAATTGGTTCCGAACCGTTCGAAATGTGCATCCAACTAATTCTTGCGATATATTCACTGAAGACAAATTTAGAACTTAGCGGGCCAAACATTTCAAAGGGTTCGGAACCAATCCCTGACTCTTGTTGGAACAGACCTATAGACAGATATGTTTGGAAATTTTTCTCAGTTTTATCCATCCATGAATTTGATCATTTAATCCTGAAATATCCTGAAATAACATTTTATTTATTGCACTTGTGGAAACAAAACTGTTCACTACAAAAGATATATTTTTTTTTCTTCAAGCTTGATGATTTTATCTAATTCATAACATTTTTGTTTAGAGACAATATACTTTATCAATATTGCACCCTTTTTCTCTCATGATACTATATTATTATTAATATAATATATATTTGGAATTATTCTCGTCTATGCCAGGTGAACATTTTTCGAGAAGCACCATCGTTATCCCGATTATCTTAAGAGATGTAATAATTTAAGATAATATTTGATGACGAATAACAGGTAGTGGAGAAATTTGCCCGATCGTTTTTCCTTTTGAAATTATCGAGCAAAATTTTCCTTTGTATTATTTTTTTTTAATGAAACTAAAAAATAGATGGACCTTTTAAATTCCGACATTTCCATCGCCCTTCCTTATGCATAGTATCAATTGCAATCTTAATATTAAGCATGTAAGCAGTCAAGTTCAGTGACCTTGCCACTCTTTAGTATCATGTGGTTGTCTTTTTTATTTTCAGTGCATAAACATTAACAAATATGAAAAACCGAAGACTTGAAATGGAAAATTTCATTAAAAACTTGTGGCAAGTTATTCGTGATCAAATTTAAAAACTCCTCTCCGACTTGACCGACTTTGTATCTCTTAAGATAACCGAGATCCACATGATGCGCCTCAAAAAGAACCAGCATATCAATAAACTAAAAAAAAAATTAATTTCTTACTTTTGCTTAACGATGATGAGCATTTAATGAAAAAAAAAAAACAAAAACGGTTCTCTTCCACCAATCTGCACGTCATAAAAAAATATATTGGACTAGAAAATCTCCTTATACCCGCCCCTGTAGGGCGAAGCATAGCACAATCACCGACACCACCGCGAGTGTGGACGATTTTTTAACACCATCCGCGGAGCTCTGCACCACGGTGCGACCCTTCGGCGACGTGAACCACTGGTGGAGGTCGGACAGCTCGCCGTAGCCGTGCTGGTTCTTGGTCTGGACAAGGCATTCGTATACGGAATCAGCCTGGAGGTTCGTCAGGCGGTACCTTTGGCTCCTCTCGCTGGTGGCCGAGTTGTAGGTCTGGGGGGGCTTCACCAGGAGGTCGTGCCACTGGCCCGGGTGGTGGTAGGACGTGTTTACCTGGAAATAAAATAATAATTGTGTTTATTTAGTTTATAGGGAATTTTTATAGAGCTTACACCTTCACAAACTGGAAAACCTTGTTCGAAACTCCGACTTACCATGATTTTCCTGTAGAGGATCCTAACCTCGATGATGGGAAACACGGACTGAACCACCCACTTGAGATCGTACTCGTGGGGGTTGGAGTATTGTGAGCTGATGACTTTAGCGGGTCCAGGTTTGCCGGACAGCTCGATGTAGCGCTTGTCGCGGCCGATTGAGTTGGACACCACGCAACTGTAGTTGCCGAAGTCCGAGAGTTGAACGTTCCTTATGGCGAGAGTGTGAGTGTTGCCGGTTTTGGACATGAGTCGTCGGTCAGTTGGTTGTAACATGAACGAGTCCTGGTACCACGTCACCTGTGAATTATTATTATTAATATAAATATTTATTATTACATAATAAAAGAGTAAAAGGGAACTAGAGTACATTGAGCTGAGTACAATATAGATTAAAGTTACGAAGTCAATTCAAAAAGTATAATAATGGAACTAGATAAAAAAACAGTATAAAGTACAGTGTTGTATAATAGTTAAAATTATGATACAAATCAGCAAATAGCAAATGTACATATAAAAACTACAATAAGACAGAAATATTTTTGTTGTAATCAAAATTCGGTAAAATTTTGTTAATACAAAATCACAGAAAGTGTACCCACACGCTGTCAATACACGAAAGTCATTTTTAGCGTCAGTAGTAGTAGATTTTAATTTTTCACTTCAAAGATCCAAAGTTTTTGATGTTAAAACAAAATTCTGTGCTTATGAAAACTCCTACTTTCTTACCGAACCATCTTAATGCTTGACTATGACGATGGGTTCCAGCGAATCCCAGCTGCGAGAAAGCTAACCAACCAGATATCACCAAGGAATTAATAAAAAGTTTCCTGTTAATAAAATTAACCAAATGAAAAATAAACAAGAGCTAGGCTGGAATAATCGGGGTTCCAAAGCATACATCAGTGCTTATTATAAAAAGAAATTCTCTCTCGACTTTACTTCTAAAAACATTTTGCGAGAAAGCATTAACAACCTAAGTAGATTTGTTCCATGAGTCAAAAACACGATTAGAAATAAAATACCGTCTACAAATTGTAGAAAAATGTTCGTGAGATAGTTTAAAATTATGTCCTTACAACAGTTTCAAGGACATTCTGTGAGTTAATCAGGAAATAGTGGTACGCAAAAAACACTCAGACACGGTCCAATTCGAGATACCAACTGAACTGCATAATGCTGAACAATTATATTATTGATAAAATACACAGTTTTTCGGATTAGAACGAACAATTGAAGCATTACAGCATCTGCTAGGGTATCAAAAAATCACTACACCATTTTTGAATAAGGCTTAAATCACGCCGAGGTTGTGCAGCTTGACGAAATGGATTCACATAAGGTTTAGTATAATCTGCTTATTGAGAACTTTATCTGGTCGAACCAATTAAATCGATGAATAAATTAAAAATAATAGTGGACCAAGTGCAGATCCTTGAAGAACACTACTCACAACGTTATAGCATCAAAATAAGAAGCACAAACCCTGAGTTAAATTTTCTTCCTGGTAAAAAGGTCCCTATCGAGTGAAGCAAAGTCCCACGAGTATATATTGTTTTGAGTAGTATATTGCGTGAAAATCCCACGTTTAGAAAAACAAGATTTAAGGGGTGATTGTCACTGTTTCATTTGTACCTTTTTTATTTTTAATCCATTTTTAAATTTTTGTAAAATTTTGAACTTGGAACTATGAAGATGGGGCAAAAGTATTTTCGTTTTATTTTTAATTTGAAATTTTAATTTATTGAAACAAGGAATATAACAGCAATTAAAATACAAAGTCTATCATGTCTAGCGAGGTTTTCATATGTCAAACATATACCATTCTACAATTAAAGAGAAAATTAATGTCCATAAATAAACCCGTTTTCGATCAATTCTAGTTTACATATGTAGGTGCATTTGTAGTGTAATAATAAATTTCATAACAATGAAATGAATTTAACATTTAACGATAATCTGATATTACGTAGGTATATTTGAGGTCTAATGTTTCAGTAAAAATTAAGCGCTGGAAAAAAAATCGGATTGTACTATTATAGCTATTTTTATAATCCAAGGTATAAAATATTCGGGCTGCTATATTTGCCAATATACAAAATATATTATACAGAATTTTACTATTTTGCCGAAAATTGAAAAATGGTATTAGGAAGGCATTATTCCATATAAGGATAAGGTCTATAAATCATATTTAGCCCTTTTAAGTTACAATTTCTAACAAGACAAGACAGAACGATAAAAGAAGTGGTGCTACTAATAAGAATTAAAATATGTTATTCTCATATTCTTTGAGGTTTATTGTAGCAAAATACAGGGTGTTTGTAAATAAGTGCGAAATATTTTAGGGCGTGGTTGCCTAAGTTATTTTGTGGAAAAAAGTTCATATAACGCAGAACGAAATATGCTTCGTTTCCGAGATACAGTGTTTATATTTTAATTTTCATATTTATCTTTATTCGTTATTTCAAAGAGTTTTAAAGATATTGACTCGAAATTTGATGGTTGTATTTTATTTAGAAATATTGACAGCAACCTACTAGAAAATGTATCAATAGAAATTAAAAATACACAACTTGAAATAAAATATGTTTTATTTTTTGCTCAAAAACGGTGCATCCTACAAAAAAAATTGAAGAGACTAATTTCATTCAGAATTGATGGCGGATTTCTAAGAAAAACATCAAAACGGGAAAAAGTCAGCGGCGTACCATTTTTTTATTAAAAAAGGTGGTGGCATTGTCGCATGAACGCCACTGGTGCAAGTAGAAATATTCAGATCACCCCAAAAAATGTCCAAAGCGTTTATAAAAAAAATAAAAAATCAAATTTAAACACTATGTATTTCGGAAACAAACCATATTTCGACCTACGTTTATATAAACTTTTTTTACAAAATAACCGGCAACCACACCCTAAAATATTTCGCACTTATTTATAAACACCCTGTATATTTGGAAAAATATATTAATAAGTATTTTATTTGGAGTTTTTTCGGCCTTTCCAATTTTTTTCTTTGGGAAAAATACTGGAAAACCGAGACTCCTCAACTTCTCATGTTTTACCTACATTGCTAAAACTCTAAAGGTGGCATAGTTTCTTTAATTTTTTCCAGTTTATCCAAATATGTGCTTCGAAAAAAAAAATCGAAAAACAATTCTTTTTCAAACTTTTCCTGATATTTTCCCGAATTGTTATATCTCCAGGTATGCTATTTTATTCTTATTTGTATCACTTATTTATGAATTAAAAACAGTACGATTACGTCGAAGGAAATAAATGTAACAGAACTTTGAAGAAAATATATTTGAAAATTGAAATAATTTCCTACCCTGTGCAGATTTTATTTATTTATTTTTTTAATCAATAAATAACACAACTGAGGTGTTTATTTTATCGAAATGTGTGACATTAAAAGCATATACGAGTAAAGAGCGACTCGTAGTATGTGTAAACAAAATTTTATTTTTAAAACACCCCAAATTTATGTTTTAACGAAAACAAACATTTACACCTTTTGATAATAAAATAATCGTGGTCTCTTTTAAATTTCTCTTCTTTTTCTCTGTCCGAACTCCATTAGATTACTGTCTTCCCAAGCGAGGCGGCATTTTTTTTAAATTCTCAAATCCCCTCTTTTTATGTAATGTTGATATTAATCTATTCTAATATTTTAGATCCAGAAATCTCTCCAACAATGTTTACTGCATTCGCAAGGTATGTTATAAATAATTTTTTTGTGAATTTGGTGTTCATAAATTATTAATTGCCTGACTGTTCTAATGTCAAAATTAGTTGAGTCACCTTGTATACAGGGTGTTAGTAAATAAGTGCGACAAATTTCAGGGGGTGATTCTACATGAGAAAATAATGGCAGTTTGCTTATAAACGTATGTCCGCAAATGATTCGTTTTCCGAGATACGGGGTGTCAAAGTTTTTCTTAAAAACTGACGATTTAATTTATTGCTCTGAAACCGGTCGAGATGTGCAAATGAAATTTGGTGGGTTTTAAGAGGTAGTTATTGCGCATTTTTTGACACGCAATTAAGAATTTTATGTTCATCATTGGCGCGCGTACGGGTAATAATCTCAATTTTTTTAAAGAAAAAAATGGTACGCCACTGAGATATTACAAATTAAAAATCATTTTTGAATTCCTCGTTCAATTTGTGACAAAAAATCTCTCTTGCCTTTTCTTCGTATGGGGCGCCGTTTTGATGCAAAAAAATAAAACATCTTAACGCGTATTTTTTATTTCTTTAATACATTATCAAGAACTATCTAATACAATAACATTAAACCAGAACAATAACAGAAAATAACACTAATAAAATTTTGAAAAGGCGCAAAGCTACAACAAATGTTCAAAATGACCTCCCTCAGACGTGACACAAGATTCAACTCTTCGCCTCATTGATTGTCGTATTCGCGCAAATATTCCTGGTATATTTCTTATTGTCTCACAGCCGACTATAATTCGATTCCTCAGGTCATCAACATTTTCAACGGGAGTGGAATAAACTAATGACTTAAGAAAACCCCAAATGCAAAAATCAAGAGGATTTAAATCCGGCGATCGAGCAGGCCAATGTTCCGTACCTCCCCTACCTATCCAACGATTTGGATATACTGTGTCTAAGTGATTACGTACATTAATGCTAAAATGGGCTGGTGCACCATCATGCATGTACCATAGGTGTTGTCTCAGCTGTAGAGGAATTTCTTCAAGAAGAACAGGTAACTCTTCCTGTAGGAAATTAAGATAAGATTCGCCTGTTAGTCGTTGTGGGAGGAAATATGGACCGATTAAATGATCATCAATTACCCCAAGCCATACATTTAGGGAAAACTGATGCTGAAAATGAGCTTCAAAGATTCCATGGGGGTTTTCCACAGCCCATAAGTGATTGTTATGGAAATTTCGTATATTTTTTATTTCGAATACACTGTCATCGAAAAGTAGTCTCGTCAGTTAACAAAACGGCATTTAAATAATTTGAAATTTGAGCGATTTGATGATTAATCCATTGGCAAAAAAATAGGCGCGGAAAAAAGTCTCTAGGTAGTAGAGCTTGCACACGTTCAATATGAAACGGATACAATTGCTGTTCTTTAAGAATTTTAAATACAGTGAAGTTGCTTACATTTAATATGTTGGCAATTTTTTCCATTACTTCGACCATAGACAAAATGCATGTCTGACAATTCCGCATTTGTAAAATTTTCCATTCTTTTCGATAAAAGAAAAATTAATTACTTATTAACACTAATGTTATAGCAAACTAAAAGCTTAATCAATTAATAATGACGAAACGCTAATTTGACATTTCTTAAAAATATTCGTATTTAACTGACAAATGTTGACAGTAGCCTACTAGGTAATGTATTAAAGAAATGAAAAATACGCGTTAAGATGTTTTAATTTTTTGCATCAAAACGGTGCCCCATACGAGGAAAAGGCAACGGAGATTTTTTGTCACAAATTGAATGAGGAATCCAAAAATGGCGCCAATGATGAACATAAAATTCTTAATTGCGTGTCAAAAAATGCGCAATAACTGCCTCTTAAAACCCACCAAATTTCATTTGCACATCTCGACCGGTTTCAGAGCAATAAATGAAATCGTCAGTTTTAAGAAAAACTTTGACACCCCGTATCTCGGAAAACGAATCATTTGCGGACATACGTTTATAAGCAAACTGCTATTATTTTCTCATGTAGAATCACCCTCTGAAATTTGTCGCACTTATTTACTAACACCCTGTATAAATCTGAATTTCTCGATTAAACAGATGGACCTTCTTTTTTCTCTAGTAGTGTATACAGATCATAATTTAAGAAATATCATTGTGAAAACCTGCCTGGATACATCATGTCATTTTATAACAAGGATTTTATTAGTAACAATTTCTATAATCCATACCGAAATGTTGCAACGGAAAATTTCCATTGCTGCGTTCTTCAGTTTCCCCGTTTCGCAAGTACAGTTATCGTATTTTATAAAAAAGTCGTCGTTTCTTTTAATGCCAGATATTAAACAAAGGAAAGGGCTCCTCGCCGTCATCGAAAATGGGGAGACGCGTTCGTATCCGCCGGGACAAATATAAAACGCGCGCACCCTAATTATTTGAGACGTTTCCAATTAATGAAGTCGTTCGGCAGTAAGTGATATTACTGGGGAAAATGGAACAGTAATACAATTATGGATCTGGAGATTAAACATTTAAGAAGATTGGAGTTGTAATTGCTCGGAATGCCTGGAATAAGATATGCGCTTAAGATCTTATTGGCAGACTGCAATTTCCATTTCGTTTCGCCGTACCTCCGGCTTTGGAGACGTCATAATTGGCTATACGGGTTTATTTTCGGACGTAGGACGAATCGATCCTATTATGCGGAAAATGAACTGGTGGATTTCTATTATGCAATACTATATTATTAAGGGTATTACTATTTATTTCAAATGTATTGGCGGTTTACAAAAAAAAAATTGAGAAGCAAGGAATTGTGTATTGAAAATAAGTTAACACACTTTATAAACAGCTATGTTTTCAAACTTTACATTATTAATCTTATCATTAATCGTTATTACCCAAAGATTTGCATTTTTTGAGGTTATTTACAGAGGATGAACTTTGCAAAAATTTTCGTCATAACAAAAATCATTAGGACCCTCACTGTATTATCTACTGGTTTTACCTAACTGTGCGACCTAAGATAAAGTAAAAAATAAATAAATGAAAATAAAAATAAAATAAATAGATTTTTTTTTATTGAAGAAAGTGAACGGAAATAAAATCTCTTAAAACATGTCAATATATATGTCTCTCTATTTTAATTTAATTCTTGTGGTCGAATTAGTATAATAACATTTTCTGTTTTAATATACAGGGTGTAAATAAATAAGTGCGAAAAAATTCCCTTTGTAATAATGAGGTGAGTCTTTCATGTAGAAAAATATCATTTGAACATCTCCTGTGAAGATACAACCGATTAAAGAGGGTGCCAAAAAAGTAGTTTCTAATTTTTTTTCAAATACCAAAAAGTGATATTTTCTGCTATCGAGAAGACACTCGTTGTCAGTAAACAATTTGTTGATTTTTCTCTACTGTTGAAGGGGTAGAAAGACTTGTAGAGTAGAAAGACCCTTAAGACTTGTTTCATATGTAACTTTTTTCTTATTATTACCTTATGATTTAAAAATTCAAGATAGCCTAATTCTCTTGCAATTTTTCGTAAAATTAACGATTTCTGAGCAAAACATTTTTTAAAAATCTATTATATGGCATAACTGCCATAGGGTAGAAATTTTATCGAACTGTAATTTATCTAGTAAGCAGCTATCACGTTGACGTTTTGTAATGGCAACTTAATTGTTATAATTAATGCAACTTTCTACATTAGAGTGCATCTCCATCTTGATGAATTTGTTTTCAAAACGATCACAGTTTATCGTTTATTTATAAAGAACAATAACTGTAATCTTACTAACAATAGAAATCGTTAATTTTACGAAAAAATTACAAGTTATCTTTTTTGTTTAGAATGAAGGCTATCTGAAATTATTTTTTAAATGATAGGGTAGTAATTAGACAAAAAAATTTTCTACCCCTTACAACCGTAGGGGAAAATCAACAAATAGTTTACTGAGTGCCTTATCGATAGCAGAGAATGTCTACTTAATTTCATTTCTGTCACTTTTTTGGTATTTCAGCTAAAGAAATTAACAACCACTTTTTTGGCACCCTGTTTAGGCAGTTGTATCTTGAATTTTCCCTGATTTTTTTTTAATTATTTACACCCTGTATAGAACATATTCGCTAAAGCATGTCTTAGAATAGGAGATGGTCAAGTATTTTGCTGCCGATAATTCGTCAATTTGAATACTGTCTTGAACCCCGTGACTTTCTTCGCTATTCCAATCTTGTTTTTTTACCAACTCGTCCTACCTTCATCATCAAAAAAACGACTTCCAGTGCTTCCATAAAGAAGTTACCCATATTTTCTCTAGTTACTAAATATGCTGGATTTTTTAGCCCTGTATCTAACTTGTTTCTTCTTAAAAAATGCAATTAGTGCAGAAAATTTGTATCTTCTTTCTCACAGCCAAACTGTAGCAGCAAAGTGAATAAGATTTTTTAGTTCTAAAACTGTCAGCGAAATAAGCGATTAGAGTAGCTTATAAATAAAGCAGTTATTATCATATTTTACCCTCTCTCTAGTGTTTTCTACTAACATTTAATTTTGGTAAATAGCATGAAAAACACTTCAATCACCCATTAATTTGTATAAATACCTCAGCGTTGTTAATTTTAATGGATTTAATAAAGTATCATGTACAGGATGTAACAAATTTCATCTTACAACCTCGACAACAGTCAGAACCAGTGGAAATAAGTTAATTTCGGTGTATAAACACGAGTCAACATTTCCACTGTTTCCGAGATAAAGGGCTTATTGTTAAAACGGGAACAATGGGTGGCTTCATATTTATTTTTCAGGAATCGCGCTGCCCGATAACGATTAATTTTGAACGATTGAAACGGACGCCGCCAATTTCGAGCCACAAAATGCATATTGAACCGCCCCTTTAAATAATTAATTGTTTTAATTACCTCAGCGGGAGGGTCCGCGTGCACAATGCAATCCAGCTTGGCCTCCATGCCTTCGCCGGAGTTGACCCACGACCTCAGCACGCTCACCTCCGGAGGATCTGAAATTTCAAGAGCAATTAAACGAAATTTCTTTCTAGGACCACTAGAAATATTTTTTCAGAGATTATTCATTCAAGAATCTCAAAATTTCATGGGATTTCATAAGATTTCATGAAGATTACTTTATAATGCATTTGTCTAATGAAGTTCCAAAGACTTCTGTAGGTATGCTGTTGAGATTTTGAGTGAATAACTACTGTTTTTAACACTATTTCTTACTTACAAAGAACGTGAAGGCGAATTTCTCCAGTAACGGGTTGGCCTATTCCATTAGAGGCTGTGCACTGATATATACCCGCGTCTTGCCTTTGGACGTCGTTCAGATTTAGTAGATAGCCGGTTTCAACCTGCAGACCAGAGGGTAAAAGTCCGTCCTAAAAGGAAAATATGAAAAATTAGAAAGTGGGAGGAATAATATAAATTTGAAGTAAGTGGTGACTAATGTTATGGCCACATACAACGTTGTGTTTGTTTTGTAAAGTTTATTTGCGATAAGTTTGCAATGAGGTCACAGTGCGAAATGATACGATGTTGCCAAGTTGTACATTTTTTCAGGATATTTAAGAAAATTAATTTCGACTAGTTGATGAATATTGTAATCTAGAACAACAGATTATGAAGTTCATTTAAATAATTTAGAAAATAATAAAAAGTTTCTATTTAATTTAGAATTGTGCAGTGTGGTTATTGCAGCTAATATTTTTTGTTTTTATTCAAATGTTAGAAAATAATAGCAGAGAATATAAAAAGTATATATTTTTAACATTCACTTATTTACATTCGATAACACATTAACTTAAAATTGATATAAATTTAATAATATTCATCTATCATCATCTAACTGTCTCTATTCCTTTGTATATACATTTTCTCATCCTTACTAATTGTAATTATATTTTTATACAGTGTGTTCAATTAAGTCGGCACAATATGGGGAACTTTTTTATTATTGGTTTTATGAAAAAAAGTTATTATTGATAAAAAGTTCTGCATGGCCTAAAAACCAAAATGAAATAATCAGATTTCAATTTTTTCGAAAAATAGGACCTTTATTTTTTGCAATATCAACAATCGTTATTAAGAAAAGTTGATCCTAATAGAAAACTAGTGTCAGATATCCAATATCATCCATCTACCGCTAAAAAGCAGATTTTCTTATTTTTACTAACTCTTCTCTGTATTAGCATTGATAATTTACGTCTAGAGATCGACATTAAATCTAGGATGCACTGATAAATCAATGAATTCAATACAATAAATGTTTTATGATTTGAAAAATTAAATTATAATTTATTTGTTTATTTTGTTTATACCTAAAAAAATATTAAATATTGGATATATGACAGTAGTTTTCTATTATGATCAACTTTTCTTAATAACTATTGTAGATATTGTAAAAAATAAAGGTACTTTACTCTTGAGCAAAATTTACATTTTTCGACAAACCTCGTATACGACTGCAAAAAATTGAAATTTAATTGTACTTCATTTTGGGTTTTGGGTCATGCATAACTTTTTATCAATAATAACTTTTTTTCATAAAACCAAAAAGTTTCCATTATGGTGCCGACTTAATTGGACACATTGTATAATTATTGTATAATTTTTGGGTATATATTTTATACTTACATTGTACATTTGGCTATTTCAAGTTAGTAAATAATTTTTGATTGTCATATACTGGGTGATTTTCTATAATGTCCACTCACCTTAACTTGTTTAATTTTTGGCGACAAATTTTGTAAGAAATGTGAGCTTGTAGGATTTTTTCTGTACTTTTTGCACATGCATTTGAAAATTGATCAAACCTATTAGTATACAGGGTAGATCAAAAAGTATATTTCTTTTTAAATGGGACACCCTATATCTGAATTAATTTATCGATACTTCGTTTAATTCTAAGCATGATTTATATATCAAGTTTATATGCTCAAAGTATATTAGCAAATAAAATTTGAAATTTAAAATTTTATGTTCTTATCTAATAGCTATGGGTAAATCAATAAAAGTAACAGTGACAGTAACTTCATTAACTAATCCAAAAAGGATCGCTGCTAATTGTTATTAAAAATGCCATACTCGCAAAGAGAAAAACAAGTAATTTTAAGTTCGTTTATTCGAAACAACTATAATGCCGTAGCAACGCAACGAGTCTTAACTCGAGAAAATCCAAGAATGCACGCTCCTTACAAAAAAAAAAAAACAATTAAGAGGAGAATTCGAAAAATTTCATCAAACATCAAGTCTGAACAGAAAGAAAAAGAAATATGCTTATAATTAAACGAGGAATCAATAAATTAATTCAGACATAGGGTCTCCCATTTAACAAAAGTATATTTTTTGATCTACCCTGTATATTAATATATTTGATTAATTTTCAAATAGTACAGAAAATATCCTACAAGCTCACATTTTATTTTTTACAAAATTTTACTGTCCCAAATAAACAAGTCAAGGAGCATGGACATTATAGAAAATCACCCGGTACTTATCTCTTGTAGTTTACTAAAAAACTGCTATACTATTAAGCCAATCAATAGAGCATTGAATCGGTGATTTTGTGACACAAATACTAGTAGCAAACGGACTGTGCCATCATATAAAAGACAGTAATATGCTTATGTTTCCTACTTCAATTTACTAATAATTAATTTTTTGTAAACATTTTTATGCAAAAAACGCATTTTTTTAGTTTTTTGTTTATAAAACCTAAACTAACGAAGCACTCTGAATGCTATGATCAATTAGTGGATAATCGAAATACGAATAAAACGAGAGATCGATCGATCGGAAAAATCGGAAAATTTAGCGTTTTTTTAAAAATTCATTACTCTGTCATTTTTTAAGTTGTAGAGTTGACCCTGTACACAAAAGTAGTGAATTATATGTACTTTAAGGGTGCCGGGTTTTAAAAGTAGAAGTATAATGTTACAAAACGTATATTCTAATTTTTTCATAAAATGGTGTGAAACAGGTGAAAAATTCCTCCAAACTTCTCAAAAACGAATGAGCGCGCGTACGCGGTCGAATAGTGGGGGAAGATCGGGAGATGAGGTGCAGTAGATATACAGGTATAGGTAAACAATTTTGAATATTGTTAGTTATAGTATAGTTTAATATTACTGTAAGTGATGATACATAATAAATAATATCAAAACACGGAATCATAACGATGTGAAACCTGTGAACATTCCTTGTTTTGTTCTTGACATCAAACGTGAATTTTGAAAGTGTTCTGTTTCTGTTACAAAGAATACATATTTAGGTATCCTTGTATACCGTTAAGGAAATTTTATTACATTTTGTATATATAACCACTTACTACTTATTGGAGTAGGAAACATATAAGCATGGGGGTTGCTTTCGCTGTACAGCAAGAATACAACGCTCTCTCAACGGTAATAATAAAGTATTTTATTGAAAACTAAGTTGTATAGAAAAAGACGTGTTGACGGGGTGAGTGTTCGTTGGAGAGTCCCCGGTGTGGAGTTGGTCGTAGGTATATCAGTACGCATCTGGTGGCCGGCGTCAGCCCGCCGTAGACCCTTTCTGGAAGGTTGGTGCGTCCGGCGGCGCTCTTGATAATGCTTAAAAATGGGTCACTTGCGAACATGAGTACCCACAAGCATATATCTACAGACTCTTTTATATGATGGCACAGTCTGTTTGCTACTAGTATTTTTGTCACAAGCATAATTTCTATTGATTGGCCTATATTTCGAAGTAAAATATTAATAAAAAACTATTCATCTGTCTCTAGTGCTCTGTGTGGTTTTAGCGATGCGTTAAGGAGCTACGAAAATTGCTATCTGTATCCCTCTTTACCTTTTTTGACCACTGTACTGTCGGTGTCGGATTGCCATTGGCTTTGCATTCAAAAGAAACTGGTCCTCCTTTTCTAATCACGACTTGTCCATTTGAGGGTAGAATATGGAGACTCGGGGGCACTGCAATTTTAAGAAATATTTCAGACCATTACGTAGATATGTTAAATTCATTATTTAGTTTAACAGATTAAGTGATCTCTCGAGAACTCTACAGCTGTTATCCTTGGTATAACTCTAAGTATGAAAGGACCCACTAACACGAAACATCTTAATCCTAATTAATGTTCACCTACATTATTATTTAGAAGGAAAGTACCGTTATTAATTATTTATTTTAAACATGACCTTTAGATTATATACATTAAAAAAGAACTTAGCCTATACAATTAGCAAACGTTCCTCTTAACCGTAAATCCCAAATTTATTAATTCACTAATCCTGTCTCCCCATCATCCTCATCCCGATCCTTTTCAGCGAGCAGGTAGTTCCGGGCGAACCCATTCGAGCCTATCCACCTCCGACAATAACTACCCTCATCTATTTGCCTAAAACAACCTACTTCATACTTCAAAGTTACGTGGAAATCAGGTACAGGGTGGCCTTTTTCATCGCGATAACATTGCCAGAGAAACAAAGCCAGGAAATACCATGATTACTTTTTGAGATTCCACACTTTTAGTTTACTGTTTTCAAACCCTAGAAATTAAATTTGAAGTCTAGTTCAACATTTGGATTTGGGAAAATCAATTTTTTCCGGTTTTAGGGAAATACTTTACAGCTCTGTTTTGTAGTCAATCGATTCATATATGTCATACCCTATGTCACCACATGAGGTACCGCACTCTTGTAACCTTTTTTATTGCTAATTTTTGGAGAAAAAATTATCCTTGATTCGTTAAAAATTGTATTTAACAAAGGCCATTCGGTGACACACTATACAGGGTGTTAATTAAATATGTACAATAAATTCAACAGACGATTATTTGAGTGATTTTAAGACAAAAAGTTCTTATAAACATTGGTCTGCAGATGCTTCGTTTTCAAGATACAGGTTGGTAAACTTTTGTAAAAAATTGCTATTTCGTAAATATCTTAAATACCCTTTACCCAATTTTGTTGTAATTTGGCAGTGTTACTTGTAGTGTTAAGGGGCTAGTTTAACCCTAACTTGATTAGATTTGTTAAGTCCAGTGGCGTCCCGAGCGGCACCTAAACGAATATTTTTGACAAAAAAACACTAACTACTAAAAAACTATTGTAAACACCACAGATAACAGGTAAACACTATCGCAACAACGATTGTAAAATTGGATTTCAGTATTCTGAGTCGCTAAGGCCACGTGGCTCTCCACGCGTATTGCGAATGACGCTACAGTTGTCCAGCTATGTAATGGTTGAATGTGTTTCAATTTCAATAATTTTTTTTCTCGGAAACTAGGATTTTACAAAAAATTTCTCATGCCGCATCTATTCTCAAATTTTTTTGAATAAGTTGTGAATTACCCTGTATTTAGTGAATAAAACGGTATAATTACAAAAGCTCGAAAATTCGAAAGTTTGTTAAAATTTTCTCCTGTCGCTTGGTTGTTCACTTCGGTCCTCTGAATGTCGTTTCTTACTCACTGGGCTTATTGGAAAAGTTCGAAAGATTAGTAATTTTCGAATTTCGCTGCCGTCGAGGCTTTCGGGCATCGGCTACGCTGTTAGCTGCGTTGCAGTAGATTTCTGTCTTCGAGAAAGACTTGGAAATGTGGAAACTCCAAAGATGCGTGAATTTTGAAGCCCGTATTTGTTCGACTCCAAGAGTGGCACTAAACGCGAAAAACAGCAGCACGCCGCTGGCGGGCCGAGATAGCGCCGCGACGACAGGAAACCGCCTGTTGTTCTTGATGTTCGGCGTCCCCCCAATTTGCATGCATTACCGCTTAATTCCGATCGGGCCCCAACGCGGGGGGCAGCCGCCCGCCGTAAATCATGCGCGCGGGTGTCGCCGCGATTCGAATTATGGAAATCGACCGCCGAGGACGTTTTTTCGGTCGCCGTTATTAAGCGATATTTAATTCGGGCGCGACAGAAAATTGCCAAGCTGTCCCCGAAGGCCCACCGGCCCGTCCTCGGGGCGCGATTCTCGGATCCGAGATGATTGATTGCTGGTTATTTGTCAAGGAGTCGAGAGAGTGTTTCCGAACGTGGTGGCGGCGATTAAGGGGTGGAGGCGGCTCATCTGAACATGTTTCCTAGCGACACCGAGTCAGACACACAAGGTGAATTGTGTCTTTTGTTTGCTATTAGCACAGGAAAGAAAAAAATTGACTTCGAGAGTTGGTTCAGAATCTAATTTTTAGCAAAAAAGTCGAAATACCATTTTTCGTATTATGCTTCGTATCCCCTCATCTGTGGTACAACGTATGTTTTCCATTTTTCTTGAAAGTCGAATGTCAAATATTTCTAGGCGATAGGACACGCTTTAATTTACTTGCTACTTGCTCGTGCCTTAGGACAGGGGTCGGCAAACCGCGGCGCGCGAGCCGCATGCGGCTCTTTCAAGAGACAATTGCGGCTCTTCAAGTTCCTCTAAAAATTAAAAGTTAAAGCGGACACACAAGCAGTAAACGAGTACACATAAAGACGCGTATAAACTTCCGTATCCGATTTAAATTTGAAATAGAATGTAAAAGCAGAAATAAAAATTCGTGGCTCTTTGAAATTCATGAAATTGGGAATCTGGATAGGTTCGGTGTGATTAAAACTTGGATATTGTATTTTCTATACTGGTCAGGATTCTGGAAAGACTTTGTAGAATAGTTTTATATTTAACTTTAACTTTACATATTTCTGAAAATATATCTTGAAATTTTATTTCCTCACGCATCATACTTCACTTTCTGATGACACTGTATATCTGGGTATATACAGGATAGGATGATGATATACAGGATGTCAAAGGGCACCCGTCCACCCCTTTTAAAATCCAAAGTACATGGTTATGTGAAAAATGGTTCAGATGAAAGTTACTGGTCTCCAAGCGGCACATATTATCGTGACCTTGTATGTAACCTTAAAGGTCGTTTTCAAGGTCAACTTAGTTTTCTTAAATGGAAATCCTTATTTTCAGGTCAATTTTGTTTTACTGTTTATGGTTTCTTTTTGTATCTAGGTACTTTTTCAATTGTATTATATAAAACACAGCTTTATCTTATTAACATTGACAATAACTTTATGTTAATGTCAATAGGTATGTTATGTTACACATTAATTGTAATTGAAAAAAAATTGACCTTTACGTGACCTTGAAGGGTCAAATTGACCCCACACATGATACATCATCTGAACGTAGAATTTTCCGCTCCTTCCAAACCTGGGGTTGAAAATAAGGGTTCCCATTTAAAGAAACTAAGTTGACCTTAAAATGACCTTCAAGGTCACAGCCAAGGTCACGACAATATGTGCCTCTCGGAGGCCAGTAACTTTCATCTGAACCATTTTTCACATAACCACGTACTTTGGATTGTAGAAGGGGTGGGCGGGTGGTCTGGGAGACCCAGTACATGAGGGTTCGCTAGAGACTCCTGACTTTGTGTAGGCTGCGGAACTGAAATTAATGACTGGGCGAGTTGGTAGGACTTTTTATTAACAACAGTATATTTGATAAATGTGAATTTATTTAACACTCAGTATAACGATACAGTAACAATAACAGTAAGAAGTAACGAGCGGATATGTGTAATACTGGCTATGTTTGTTCTAAGTTCGTAATTTTAAATGTGGATTGTGCGTACACGCACTGACCAGGTATTTGTCCCTGGTTATATAACTGCAAGTTGTCAAAGTCGACGTTCCATCGCGTTGCCCTCAAACGTACGTTGTCGACCTCGAACGTACGCTGGCTCTGCAATATCAAGTCGTCGGAGTGGTTTTCGGCTTTGTAGCGCGGCTCGACGTTTGAATTGGAAACCTGGGCAAAATTTGAAATTGCTCACAGTCTTCATACCTACGACAATACGAAAAGAAAACGCATTATTTCACATAGCAGGTGATGGTTACTAAATTGTTGTTTATTAGTTTTTTATAATCATTGCATATGCTTGTTACTGTTAATTACACAGACACGTAAAACAAAAAATTGGTCTGTTCTTTTGACCCGACGCTGTTACTGCTACGTTTTCGTACTCGCTGTACACGAGTCTGGAGTCAGTTTAGCGCATCCACCATTTTCTAGAAAATGTCCCACAAATTTTCAAATAGGGAATATGACTGCTTAACGATTGTAATATCGTGGGAGAACCTCGCCCATATACTGTATTCCATAACATTGCCATCATAATTTCAGGCCTGCTAAACACGAATCTAGTCACTTTGGCACCAATTTTCGAAAAAAAAAATGACCACTCAAATAATATAAAACACTGTTTTGTGAATATACCAGAGAACTATATGATTTAGGCTAAAAGTGTTCCGTAATTTTTTTTTTTTTAATCAACGTTGTAACGAACTCGTTTTGTCTCTCTCTGTCTCTCGTCTTCAAAAGATCTATGTAGTGGGTTCCTCTTTCTCTTCTCTTTCTTTGTGTTTGTACTTCTAACCTTATATTCTCTTTTCAACATCCAACAGCAGTCCTCCATCATATTCACGTCTCTTTTATGCTAATACGTTTTTGTTTCATTAGTTTTGTGTGAAGTGGACGATGTAGAACCTTGGGTGGATCTTGCAAAGACGCTTGAGAATTGTTTAAAGATCCTTGATATGCTATCGAAACTGAAATTTTGTAGAAGAGGCTTCTTGTTTAAGAGTCAACGCAATTCCACTCTATACAGGGTGGGCCGGCCAAGAGTACCGGAATGGCAGGATATCTGGGAATATTCAAGGGGTAGGGTAAATATAAAGCACTAGGGGATCAGGATTTTTGCCTGGCTATCTGACGGTGACCTTGAATTTGACCTGGACCATGACCTTCAAGGTCATATCAAGGTCACGAGAATTTTTTAAAATGGGACCCCAGAAATGAGCGAAAAATTTTACGTTAAGATATGTCTTTGAAATGACCGTGAAGGTCAAGATCAAAGTCAAATATCAAAAAGTTCCACAGTGGCCTAACAGTACTCGAATGGCAGAATAACTCG